TAACCTTATGGGGATTCCCTTGTGCATTATTTGTTGTTTTTCCCTTGCTGCTTTTAATATGTTTTCTTTGTATTTAATTTTTGACAGTTTGATTAATATGTGTCCTGGCGTGTTTCTCCTTGGATTTATCCTGTATGGGACTCTCTGTGCTTCCTGGACTTGATTAACTATTTCCTTGCTCATATTAGTGAAGTTTTCAACTATAATCTCTTCACATATTTTCCCAGTCCGTTTCTTTTTCTATTCTTCTTCTGGGACCCCAAAATTCAAATGTTGGTGTGTTTAATGTTGTCCCAGAAGTCTCTGAGACTGTCCTCAATTCTTTTCATTCTTTTTTCTTTATTCTGCTCTGCAGTAGCTATTTCCACTACTTTACCTTCCAGGTCACTTATCCGTTCTTCTTCCTCAGTTATTCTGCTATTGATCCCTTCTAGAGTAGTTTTAATTTCATTTTTTTGTGTTGTTAATCGTTGCTTGTTTCCTCTTTAGTTCTTCTAGGTCCTTGTTAAACGTTTCTTGTATTATCTCCATTCTATTTCCGAGAGTTTGGATCATCTTTGCTATCATTATTCTGAATTCCTTTTCAGGTAGACTGCCTATTTCCTCTTCATTTGTTAGGTCTGGTGTGTTTTTACCTTGCTCCTTCATCTGCAGTGTGTTTCTCTCTCTTCTCATTTTGCTTAACTTACTGTGTTTGGGGTCTCATTTTCTCAGGCTGCAGGTTCGTAGTTCCCATTGTTTTTGGTTTCTGCCCCCAGTGGCTAAGGTTGGTTCAGTGGGTTGTGTAAGCTTCCTGGTTGAGGAGACTAGTGCCTGTGTTCTGGTGGATGAGGCTGGATCTTGCCTTTGTGGTGCGCAGGTCCACGTCTGGTCGTGTGTTTTTGGGTGTCTGTGGCCTTATGATGATTTTAGGCAGCCTCTCTGCTAATGGGTGGGGGTGTGTTCCTGTCCTGCTAGTTGTTTGGCATAGGGTGTCGAGCACTGTAGCTTGCTGGTCATTGAATGGATCTGGGTCTTGGCATTGAGATGGACATCTCTGGGAGATTTTCACCATTTGATATTATGTGGAGCTGGGCAGTCTCTGGTGGACCAGTGTCCTGAACTTGGCTCTCCCACCTCAGAGGCACAGCCCTGATGCCTGGCTGGAGCACCAAGAGCCTGTCATACACACAGCTCATACCAGGTATGTGGGGAGTTTCTTGCCTTTTGGGAGGTCTGAGTTCTTCTGCCAGCATTCAGTAGGTGTTCTGTAGGAGTTGTTCCACATGTAGATGTATTTCTGATGTATTTGTGGGGAGGAACGTGATCTCCACGTCTTACTCCTCCACCATCTTGAAGCTCCTCTCTCTCCTTGTGTTTTGATTTGTATTTCCCTAATGGCCAATGATGTTGAGCATCTTTTCATATGCTTATTAACCATTTTTATATCTTCTTTTGAGGAGTGTCTTTTCAAGTTCTTCGCACATTTAAAAAATCAGGTTGTTTATTTTTTGTTGTTCAGTTATAGGAGTTCTTTATATATTCTAGATATTAACCCCTTATCAGATATATGGTTTGCAAATATTTTCTCCCATTTTGTGGGTTACCTTTTCATTCTGTTGATAGTGTCCTTTGATGCACAAAAGTTTTAAATTTTTATGTAGTCCAGTTTATCTTTTGTTGTTGTTGTTGCCTTCGCTTTTGTGTCATATCCAAGAATTCATTATTAAATGCAGTGTCATGAAGGTTTCTCCCTGTGTTTTCTTCTAAGAATCTATAATTTAGCTCTTACCCAGCCAGGGTTCTTCTTAGGTTCAACTAAACAGCAGGTATACAGCTGTTTAGGTATACAGCAGGTATACAGTAGAGCAGGAGCAGATGTTCCTCTTCAGCAGGAGCAGTCCTCACAGAAGTCCATGTAGTAGCTGATATAGCAGTCTGGGGACAGCTCAGATACAAGGAGATGAGATCCAGTATCTTTTGTAATAACACATAGGCGCAGCTTCCAGGGTCCCCACAAGGGATATGCCTAATTACAAGAGTCCGGGAAGCCCAAAATATGGTGCCTTTTCTAGTATTTATTTACTTATAGTGTGCGTATAGTTCCTCCCAGTCCAGATGCAATTTCTCAATCAGATACCATTTTTACCCTAAGCAATGTTACCTAGTAATACAGTTGACATTCTTACCTTTATCCTAGTGGAACAGAGTTGGAGAGTTAACCAAAGATCACTTTTTCAAGATGGGGAAAAGATTTCTGTGAGCACTCTGCTCATAATCTTTCCAGTGTTTTAAAGATTAATACTTTTTCCAGAAAAAGTACTTTCATTTTTTATTCATTTTTGTTTTATATTTTGGGTTAAAATGTATATATGAGAAATAAGTGTTTAAAAATGAGTTTTTTCCCCTGCAAAACTAATCTTTTGACTATTTTGTAAATACCAACATCTTTTTAAAATTAAGCTATAATTCACATTTTATAAAATTCACCTTGCTAAAGTGTGAATTCAGTGACTTTTAGTATACTCAGAAGGTTGTGCAGCCGTTGACCCCTAATTTAGGAACATTTTTAGGAACATTTTTCATCACCCCCTTAGCAGTCACTTACCATTCCCCCCATCTCACCCTTCAGCTCCTGGAAATTACTAATCTACTTTCTGTGTTTTTAGGTTTGCTTATTAATAAGTAGCCATTTCATATAAATTGTATCATACAGTATGTGGCCTTTTTGTGTCCAGCTGCTTTCACTTATAATATTTTCAAGATTCATCCATGTTACAGCATTTATCAGTACCTTGTTCCTTATTTATGGCTGAATAATATCCCATTATAAGGATATACCACATTTTATTTTCTAATTCATCAGTTTATGGGCATTTGGATGAATAATAGTGCTATGAGTGTTCGTGTACAAGTCTTTGTATGGATATATGTTTTCAGTTTTCTTGGGTATATACCTATAAGTGGAAAAAGAATTAATTGGTTACATGGTAACTGTATGTTTAATACTTTTTTTGTGGTGGACTTTTAAAAACAGCTTTTTTGAGGTACAGTTCACCTATTTAGAGTATAAATTTCAGCATTTTTTAGTATATTCACAAATATGTGCCATTATCACCCCAGTCAATTTTAGAACATTTTTATCACCTTAAAAACAAACCCTGTACCCTTTAACCATTACTATTATCCCCTTATTCCTCCATCCCACTATCTGGCCCCAAGCAACCACTAATCCGCTTTCCATCTCAGTAGATTTCCTGGACATTTTATATGAATAAAATCATATAATATGTAGTCTTTTGTGACTAACTTCTTTTACTTAGCATAATGTTTTCAAGGTATCAGTACTTCTTTCCTTTTCATGGCCAAACAATATTCTATTGTGTTCATGACCATTTGGGTTATTTCTGCCTTTGGACAATTATGAATAAAGCTGCCATAAACATCCAGGTACAAACTTTTGTGTGGATATATGTTTTCATTTCTCTTGAGTGTATACCTAGAAGTAAAATTGAAGGGTTATAAGGTAACTCTATGGTTGGTCATTAGAGGAGTTGATAGACTGTTTTCCAAAGTGGTTGAATAGTTTTACATTCCCAGCAGCAGTGTATGAGTGTTCTGATTTGTCTATATTCTTACCAACACTTACTATCATCTATCTTTTGGGGTGTGAAGTTGTATCTCATTGTGATTTTGTAATGGAGCTTATTGGCCCTTTGTATATCTTCTTTGGAGAAATGTCTACTCAGATCCTTTGCTCATTTAAAAGTTAGGTTATTTGTCTTCTTATTGTTGAGTTGTAAGTGTTCTTTATATGTTCTAGATACTAGACCCTTATCAGATAAAGGATTTTCAAATATTTTCTCCCATTCTGTAGGTAAATACCAGTGTCTTTTAATAAATAAAAATACTTTTGAGAACACTTAATGGCTTAACATTTTAAGGTTTACATTTTGTTACCAAATGAATCTGAGACTAATTGCCCTTTGGTTCTTCTACACCAAATGAGGCATATAGATTCCCTTCAATTCCAAGCTGTCATTCCTTGGCTGACTACACTGAAAGGAGGCCAGTTGACTCAAGGACTTCTGGAGATTTTCATTTTCTAGGGCCTCACTTTAATGTGACCTTCCTAACACTGTTTCAAGATACACATTGATAGGCCTGAAGTTGTTCTGTCCTCCTACAAGGAAGAGGAGCTAGACAAAGGCAGATGCCCCCCACTCCCTACCCAGCGCAGTTGATAATTCATTTTGGGCACACCTACATGTGGTGTAGCCTAGGTTCAGGCCAGACCTAGTCTGATCTGGATAGTCAACATGACAAAGCTTCTTAGAATCCCAAACTAAAGAGTATGGATCATGACTTTGGTTTTAAATATTTTGAATTTGATGTAGAAATATGTGGTGATTTAAGTAACCTGATAATGATATGGTTATGGTGCTCAGGAAAGAGATAGAGATTTAAAAATCTCTAGTGTACAATTGGTAGGCAAAAAGAAGGCAAGAGTAGAACACTGGGGAAAGCTGACAGTTAAGGGAAGAGCAGGAGAAATTATTCCATGAGGTGTAGTTGCTGGGTATGTGAATTTCATTTAGTAGGTACTTAATATATAAAAATTAAATTGTACTTTAGCAAATGAAAATTCCTATTTAAAAAATAATTTTTTAAATTCCTATTTAAAAATAATATATAAAAATTAAATTGTACTTTAGCAAATGAAAATTCCTATTTAAAAATAATTTTAAATTTAAATTATTATTTAAATAATAATTTTAAATAATACAAGGCTAAAGAGCCTTGTATTCTTCTTTATAGATTCACTTGTTCCCAGTTAAACATGCATCTTTTGAAGAAGTATTTCTAAATATCAGCAATTATATGAATTCAGATAAAATTATTCATATGTCAAGTTCACAAGAAAATCATTCTATTGAGAGAGTAGTTCAACTTTCCTTTAATTAAAAATATTGTTTTTGCCACATTGAGCTTCTACAAAAGAGTAATATATTCTTTTATAGATTGATTTGTCCTCAGTGCAAAAAACATCTTTTGAAGAACTGTTTCCAAATGTCAGCAATTATGTTAATTCAAATGAAATTGTTCCTGTGTCAACTTTGCAAGAAAATTCTTCAAATGAGGTAGTATTTTCAAATTTTCCTTCAGTTACTAAAAGAAATAATTACTGTTATATTGGATACTTTGTATATGAGATACTTTAAGAGATCTGTAACTCAGTTGAGGCTAACATCATCTACATGTGGAGTCAGCTATCAGATATAATTCCAAATAAAGGATATTAGGCTGCCACAGCCAAAACACTTTGCATCATCAGGACCTAGGGATATTAAACAACTAGAGGAAATAGTATTATCCTACTTGAATCCAAAACTCAGTTTTTGTCTGTGCATATAAATTGTAGACATCAACCTAGTTGTGTTAGAATGAATATATGGAAGTACTATGATCCACGAATAAAACTCATAACTCTAAGGGCCATGGGGTGTGGGGTGGGAGTAAAGAAAGAGGATGACCAGAAAAAGAGAGAAGAACAGAAGAGAGAGAGGGAGAGAGAAAGAGACAGAAAGAAGGGGAGAGAGGGCAGACAAGAGAGACAGAGATAAAGAATAAGACAAGAAAGAGGCAGAGAGAAAAAGAAATTAAGAGGCAGAACTTAGGGGTGGGCAGTGGTTCATTGCAGCTAGATCTTTTCACTGTGACCCTGGAGTGAAGGCGGGGGGATGCAGGTGGTGAGGAGAAAGTTGGAGATGAGATTGTAGAGATCAACAGGGGCCAGTATCAAAGAGCGTCTTATAATCCATGTTAAGGAATTTGGATTTTTTTCTTGAGGGGGGGCTGGTAAGGGATTGTAAACAGGATATATCAAATGTTCTTGTATAAAGTTTATTTTGGCTCCAGGGGTGGAGAGCAGATTGTAAAAGTCTGAGACTAGAGGCATCTTGAGGGATAATCTTCAGAGAAAGAGAGTAAGAGAAAGAAAGAATATAGGGTAAGAGGCTTAAGGATAGTAAAAATAGTTTGAAATAGGAGTTTGGGGGAATGGAAGAATTAGGGAAACCAAGATTATAGCCCATTGTTGAGATCCCAGTTGAAACTGAGAACTATTGCCTTTTTTTTTTTTTTTTTTTTTGCGGTACGTGGGCCTCTCACTGTCGTGGCCTCTCCCATTGCGGAGCACAGGCTCCAGACGCGCAGGCTCAGCGGCCATGGCTCACGGGCCCAGCTGCTCCACGGCATGTGGGATCTTCCTGGACCGGGACACGAACCCGTGTCCCCTGCATCGGCAGGTGGACTCTCAACCATTGCGCCACCAGGGAAGCCCAGAACTATTACTTTTTTAAAAAAACGTTCTTTATTGAGGTATAATATAATTGACATGCAATAAACTGCACATATTTAAAGTGTGCAATTTAGAAGTTTTTACGTATGTAAGCACCTTTGAAACAACCACCACAATCAAGATAGTGAAAATATCCATCACCAAAATTTCCGCCTACCATTTTATAATTTCTTTCTTCCTGCCCCACCGTCTGCTCCCTAAGAAACTACTGATCTAGTTACTGTCATTATAGATTGGATTTTGGAGGAGAGAGAGAGAGGGGGGTGGGAGGGGGAGGGGGAAGGGAGGAGGAGATGGGGAGAGAGAGAGAGAGAGAGAGAGAGTTTTTTGGTCTGGCTTCTTTTACTCAGCATAATTATGAGATTCAGCCATGTTGTTGAGTGTATCAGTAGTTTGTTCCTTTTTATTGCTAAGTAGTATTCCATTGCATGGTATACCATAATTTAACCGTTCACCTATTTATGGACATTCAGATTGTTTAGCTGCTGGGAACATTTGTGTACAAGTATTTGTATTGACAAAGAATCTCTCCTTGATCAAACTTGAGTTAGGCTACTCTGAGCCCTCTTCTCAACTTGGCCTTGACCTTGGGCTTCCACATCCATCCTTGAATACATTTTTAGCAAGAATTCTGCTACGTCAGTTTAGAGAGAGTCCCCCACCCCTGATACCTGATCACCCTGGCTGCCTTTAGCAGCCTGGCCTATTAAGTCTAATTCGGTTCCTGGACCCAATTCCAATGAGTGTGCAATGAGGAGGGTTTCCCCACACTTCCAGCAAGCGATGCTCCAGGCACCAGCTGGGTATCATAGATTTCAACCCAATTCTGACACTATCTACCCAGAGATAGCATCAGATTCCGCAGATAAAGGACTCCGTCCCACAGGAACACCTTCCACTTCAGACACCAATTGCAAGCCCAGGTTATTATCTATGTTTCTGACAGACTGGCTACAAATTGGAGGTTCCTATGACCCCGTTCTTGGACTTCAGACTCCAGTCACAAGTCCAGGTTGTTACATTTACTTCTGACTTACTGGCTATAAATCAGAGGTTCTCACAACCCTCTCCTTGGGTTTGATTAATTTTTTAGAGCAGCTCACAGAACTCAGAAAAACATTTACTTACTAAATTACTGGTTTATTATAAAAGGATATAATTAAGGGACAGCCAGATAGAAGACATGCATAGGGCAAGGTATGAGGAAAGGATGCAGAGCTTCCATGCTTTTTCTTGGAGTGCCATTCTCCCCGAATCTCACCAACCCAGAAGCTGTTTGAACCCTGTACTTTTGGAGTTTTATGGAGGCTTCATTACACAGGCCTGATTGATTAAATCAATGGTCATTGGTGATTCATTTAACCTCTAGCTTCTCTCTCTTCCCTTATGAGGAGAGGTTATGGTGTGGGCCTGAAATTTCCAACCCTGTAATCACATAGCTGGTTTCCCTGGCAACCAGCCCCATCCTTTTTTTTTTTTAATTAATTAACTTATTTATTTATTTTTTGGCTATGTTGGGTCTTTGTTGCTGCACGCAGGCTTTCTCTAGTTGTGGTGAGCGGGGGCTACTCTTCGTTGCGGTGCGTGGGCTTCTCATTGTGGTGGCTTCTCTTGTTGCAGAGCACGGGCTCTAGGTCCGCGGGCTTCAGTAGTTGTGGCACGTGGGCTCAGTAGTTGTGGCTCGCAGGCTCTAGAGCACAGGCTCAGTAGTTGTGGCACACAGGCTTAGTTGCTCAACGGCATGTGAGATCTTCCCAGACAGGGCTCAAACCCGTGTCCCCTGCATTGGCAGGCGGATTCTTAACCACTGCACCATCAAGGAAGTCCCTTATCCTTAAGTGCAGTTCAAAAGTCACTTTATTAATGTAACAAAAGATACCTCATTGCTCTCATCACTTAGAAAATTCCAAGGGTTTTAGGAGCTCTATACCAGAAATGCGGGCAAAGATCAAATATATATTTCCTATCGTAAATCATAGTATCACAGATCAGTTTAGCAAGAATCCCCGTACCCTTGATGTCTCCTCATAGCAGTTTTTCATCCTCTGATGACTTCACTCTCTTCATTGGCTATAAATCCCCAGCTGTCTTTGCTGTATTTGGAGTTGGACCCAATCTCTCTCTGCTATTGCAGTACCCCTATTACAATAGTTTTGAATAAAGTCTTCCTTATTGTTTTAACAAGTATCAGAATACACTTTCTTTTACAGCATGGATGTATATTTTCTTTCCTCTTGGGTAGATATCTAAGAGTGGAAATTGCCAAGCTGTTTTCCAAAGTGGTTATACCATATTTTACATTTCCACTAGCAGTGTTTGAAACATGTAGTTGCTTGTGAAACAGTGTCATTTGAAGAATATAAATTTTTAACTTCAACAAAGTCCAACTTGTCAGTTTTTTAATGAGGTGTGCCTTTGTTGTCATATCTAAGAAATCTTTGCCTAACCCAAGGTCACAAAGATATTCTATGTTTTCTTTTTCTTTAAATAAATAAATTTATTTATTTATTTTTGGCTGCATCGGGTCTTCATTGCTACATGCAGGCTTTCTCTAGTTGCGGCAAGTGGGGGCTACTCTTCGTTGCAGTGCACAGGCTTCTCACTGTGGTGGCTTCTCTTGTTGTGGAGTATGGGCTCTAGGCACGTGGGCTTCAGTAGTTATGGCACGCATGCTCAGTAGTTGTGGCTTGTGGGCTCTAGAGCGCAGGCTCAGTAGTTGTGGCGCACAGGCCCAGTTGCTCCTCGGCATGTGGGATCTACCCAGACCAGGGATCAAACCCGTGTCCCCTGCATTGGCAGGCAGATTCTTAACTACTGCACCACCAGGGAAGTCCGATCTTCTATGTTTTCTTCTAGAAGTTTTATAGTTTAAAGTTTTACACTTATGCCTATGAATTAATTTTTTTTAAAGGGAACGCTATTTATTTTTGGCTGTGTTGGGTCTTCGTTTCTGTGCGAGGGCTTTCTCTAGTTGCGGTGAGTGGGGGCCACTCTTCATCGCGGTGCACGGGCCTCTCACTGTCGCGGCCTCTCTTGTTGTGGAGCACAAGCTCCAGATGCGCAGGCTCAGTAGTTGTGGCTCACGGGCGTAGTTGTTCCGTGGCATGTGGGATCTTCCCAGACCAGGGCTCAAACCCGTGTCCCCTGCATTGGCAGGCAGATTCTCAACCACTGCACCACCAGGGAAGCCCTGAATTAATTTTATTATATGATGTAAGGTATGGATTCAAGTTCATTTTTTTGCATATTGACATTCAGTTATTCTAGCACCATTTGTGGAAATGCTATCCTTTCTTCACTGTATTGCCTTTGCATCTTTGCTGAAAAACAGTTATCCCTATATATGTATGGGTTTGTGTCTGGATTTTCTATATTGTTCCATTCATCTACTTGTTTACCTTTATGCCAGTACCATGCAGTATTGAATAATGTGGCACTATAGTAATTCTTGAAATCAGTTAGTGTTACCCCTCTAACTTTGTTATTCTTTTTCAGTTGTTTTGGCTGTTCTAGGTCCTTTGCATTTCTATATGAATTTTAGGATCAGCTTGTCAATTTCTACAAAAATAGAAAAAAACAAAACCCTGACGGGATTTTGATTAAGATTGCATTGAATCTGTAGATTAATTTGAGGGTAATTGACATCATAACAAGATTGAGTTTCCCATCTTAAGAAAAAGGTGTATCTGTCCATTTATTTAGGTGTTTTTCAATATTTCTCCAAAATATTTTGTAATTTTTACTGTACAGGTCATTATTCTCACCTAATTTCAATATTTC